CCCCCCCCCCATACACAAAAGGGAACTAGGATCCTGATGTGGACTAGATGTTATTGGAAGCCAAAAATTTCCAAACTGATGTTGGGGAGATGAGAATGGAAGGGAGTGGAAATCTGGGCAGCGGCACTTGATTCTGCAAAATCTTCCTGCAGTTGCCAATTGTTTAATGCCATTCAACCCCATCCTTTGCATTCTGTTTTCCCTTTGCTTCTAATACTCATTGTAATTTCTCATCCTAACGCCTATTAGTTGGATCCTGTCAATTTCGCTATGAATTTCTATAATGCTAAGTGATGTTGGCACCCTTTCTGGCAGCTTGTTAATGGAATATTTGACCTTGCAGCCTCTTGTCTCTGGCTGCTGCTTCCATCTATGAATCATTTTTTTTAATGGTTCGAACGTGGGGAGAAAGGTCCTTAGGAATGTAATTGTGCTTCTTTGCTTTAAGAGTGACCCTAGGAATACAGAAGAAAGGGGGAAAAAAGGAGACTATGCGGGCATAAAGAATCCAACTGGATCAGAGCAGCAGTCTCATTCCAGAGTAGTGAACCATTGTTGTGTTGCAGGCAATATTTCTGCAGGGGATACTGTGTTGGGCTTTCTATATTGTCTGCTTTTTATGTTTTATAAAACCAAAGACTGTGCTATAGGCTTCTGTGTGAAGCTGGGGTAGGAATTACCTAGCATCCTCCAGATGTTGAACTGCAACTTCCACCAACCATAGCCAAAGGTAAGCTGGGCATTGCAGTTTAGCCACTTTTGTTGTTGTTAATCGCTGCCAAATTGACTGACTTACGGTGACACTATGAATGAGAGACCTCCAAGTCACCCTGTTAACAACAGCCTTGCTGAGATCTTAAAACTCAGGGCCATGGCTTCCATGATTGAGTCTACAAAACTGTAATGCAGTCTTCCTCCTTTTTTCTGCCCTCTACCTTAGCAAGCATTTTTATCTTTTCTAATGAGTCATGTGCAAAGTACACAGTCTCAGTTTAGTCATCCTGGCTTCAAGTCAGAGTTCAGGCTTGATTTGCTCTTGGACCCATTTATTTGGGTTGTTTGTTTGTTTGTTGCACAGGGTTGGAAGTCCATGGTATCCACAGAACTCTTTCAGCATTACCTTTCAAATGAGTTGATTCTCTTCCTATCAACTTTCTTCACTGTCCAGCTTTTACAACCATACATAATCAGAAACACGTGGACCATCCTGACTTTGGTATTCAATGGCATATCTTTGTAGCTGTTGCGCGCCTTCAAGTTGTTTACAACTTATGGAGACCCTAAGGTGAGCCTATCACAGCAGTTTCTTGGCAAGATTTGTTCAGAGGAGATTTGCCATTGCCTTCCCAAAAGGCTGAGAGTGTGTGACTTGCCCAAGGTCACCCAGTGGGTTTCCATGACAGAGTGGGGATTTGAACCAAGGTCTCCTGAGTTGAAGTCCAATGTTCAAACCACTATACCACACTTTCTTCCATTACCCTTCCTTAGCTTGCTCTTACGTGACTCCAGCTGCTTTGCTCTGCCTTCTGAGTCTTCTGCCCTCTTTGATTCTCCCTTGATTTCCTCTAGTTCTGCCTTTCATTTTGTCAGGTGGACTTCCTTGCCAGATAAGGATCAATTTACGTTAAAGTCCCCAAATTCCAACATAACTCTGTACTGGATCTTCCATGCCATTCACATTCCATGAAATGTTCTGAAAGCCACCAATCCCACTAGCAGTTTGGATTTCCCCTGTTACCATATAAACGCCCATAGAGCGTCTTCATACCATATTCTTACTGGCAGCCGAATCATGTAAATCTCTGCTAGTCTCTAGAGCAGTGATTCCCCAACTGTGCCCTTTCAGGTGTTTTGGACTTTGGCTCCCAGAATCCCAGACTATTGGCCAAGAGGACTGGGGATTCTGGGAGCTGAAGTCCAAAACACCTGGAAAACCAGAGTTTGGGAATCACTGCTGTAGAGGTTGTGGTTGTCATTGTGTGCCTTCAAGCTGCTTCCAACTCATGGCAACCCTAAGGCAACCTTATCATAGGATTTTCTTGGCAAGTTTCTTCAGAGAGGGCTTGCCATTGCCATCTTCTGAGGCTGAGAGAGTGTGACTTGCCCAAGGTCACCAAGTGGGTTTCCATGGCCGAGTGGGGATTCAAACACTTGGTACCCAAGCGTCCTAACTCAATGCTTAAACCACTACACCATGTAAAAGGAACACTTTCCTCTTCTGGTTGGTGAATCCTCGCACATCTCTTAAATATTCTGGACAAACATATATCAATTCCCCTCCTCCCCTTTTATAAGTGAACCTTGTCTTCACATAAATAACATTCATTAAATTCATTCATGCTAAAAGCAGATCTTGTAAAGGTCTAAATCCTCTTTCACTAACAACAGTGTCTCTCATCTTGCAATTTCCGAAGAACAAGAGTTCCTGCTTGCAGCTGAGCTACTACTGATGGCTTGTTTTGCCAGGTAAAGGAAGGATATTAACTCATAGTGCCATCTGGTGGCACCTGATGAAATACTGATACTTTTTCATCCCGTAAGAAGAAATCTTTAATTCAACGTTTCTTCTACAGACTCTTAGCAACTTAGAATAAGCAGTGCCTTGCTATACAAATGAAATGTTTCTACTGAACAGTTGTACTTTGATTCCTATTATCGTTTTCTGACCACAATAAATTTGTTTTGTTGTCACCTGCCCTTGAGTTGATCCCGATTCATCGTGACCCTGTGGATGAGACATCTCCAAGCCCCCATATTTTCCACTGCTCTTCTTAGTTCCTGCAAATCCATGTCCCTGATCTCCTTAATAGAGTTCATCCATCTTCTAGCATGTGGTCTTCCTCTCTTTCTCCTACCCTCCACCTTTCTTAGCATCATTGTCTTTTCGAGTGAGTCGTGCCTTCTCGTGATGTGGCCAAAGTACGACAGCCTCAATTTGATCATCTTGGCTTCCAGGGAGATTTCTGGTTTTATCTACTCAAGGACCCATTTGTTTCAGGTTTTTTGGCCATCCACAGTATCCTCAGCGCTCTGCTTCAGCACCATATCTCAAATGAGTTCATTTTCTTCTTACACACTTTCTTCACTGTCCAGCTCTCACATCCATACATGGTGATGGGGAATACATTGGCTTGGACAATACTAACTTGAGTGTTCATTTGTATATCTTCCCTCTTCAGGATCTTTTCTAGTTCTTTCATAGCTGCTCTTCCCATTCCTAGTTTTCTGATTTCTTTCACTCAGATCAATGTTTGATCCTGGATATGGCAGCTCTTTTACTATTTCAATTTCCTCATTGTCTAGGGTGGATTTTATGTATTTCTTCCATGCTCATTATTTTTGTTTTCTCTATGTTCAGCAGTAAGCCTGCATCTGCACTGTCATCTTTGACCTTCTTTAGTAATTGTTCCAAGTCTGTCATGTTTTCTGATAGTAGTATGGTGTCATCCGCATATCTTACCACAATAAATAGAGCACCTTAGTTGACTTCTCAGCATCCCTGTTTCTCAACTCCCTCCAATTTCTGCACACATTTTTCCACACCTCACACTAACACATCACTAAAGAGTTTGAAGGAATCACAAGAGCCATCTCATGCAGTTCCTGACAGTATAGGAACCCACAAAGAAGCCCTGCAAGGTAGCATCCAATGTCTGTTTAAAATGCTGGAATGCAGAAGAGTCCACCATTTTCTGACGTACTTGGAATCTCCTTTCTTGCAATGCGAACATAATGGTTTAGGCTAGTCTCCTGGAACAGTAGAATACAAGCTTACTCCATCTTCTGCACCAGGTGCTTTTCCATTTTTGATCCTTCAGATAGTTTTGATTTTAATTCCCAGAAATCCCAGTCAGCAATTGAAAGGCTCAGCCCTTCTAGGAGTTGAAGTCTCAAGCATCTGGAGGACTAGAGTTTGACAACCCTGCATGACAATCCAACAACAGCTGGAGGGCCAAACATTCCTCCATCCCCAACCTAAACAGACCCAAATACTGTAACCCTCCCTCGTAGAACAATTAGTTTTTCCAGTGCTTTGATCATTTTGGTTGCCCTTTTCTTACCTACTCCAGCTCTACAATACACCTTTTTACCACATGGCAAGGAGGATTATATAAACAGTGTTCCAAGTGCAGTCACGCTGTTCATTTATCAGAGAAAATTATGATATTGCCAGAATTTTTTTTAAAACAAATCCTAACAATCTCCAAGATGGAGTTCAAGTTTTGATAGCTATGATGTACTCTAGGCTGACATTTTTTTCCATGCCATTGACCGTGAACAAGTGATTTCTTTCCTGATCACCATCGGCTCAGAGCCTGTGTGAGATACTAGATTTTGAGGAAGCAGTTTATCTTGACCTGCATTTTCCATTCTGTTGCCCATTCTCATTGTTTTTAGAAATCCTTTTGGATCTCTTTGTGATCCAAGGTTGCAAGCCTATCCACATTTACATGGGAACAAGGTTAATTGATTACAGTGGTGTTTACTCCTGAATAAACAGGCATGAAATAATGCTCTCTGTGTTACAGCCCTAAAACCCAGTCCACTACTGATTCTCCTCTAATGGGCCTAGATCTACCGGATGATGATCCCTCCTATTACATGACTTTGCTATATTTTAGTTTTGATGGATTTAGACTTTCCTTACCTTTTTTTTCTGGAGGCCTGTACACACTCGGCAAAGAAAAATGTTTCTGATCCTGCCTTCATGAGCTTGGTGGGATTCAGGTGTGTGTACAGGGCTTCAGAAAGAGATTCTGGGGCTAACTGTTAATTTCTTAATGACCAGCCACTTGCTTTGCATTAGAGGACTGAACTGATCTTGTTGTTGTGTGCCTTCAATTCATTTTTGACATACGGCAAGCCTCTCATAAGGTTTTCTTGGCAAGATTTGTTCACAGAAGGTTTGCCATTGCCTTCCCCTGAGGCTGAGAGGGTGTGACTTGCCCACTGGGTTTCATGGCTGAATTGGGAACCAAACCCTGGTCTCCAGAGTCACAGTCCAACACTCAAACCACTGCACCATGCTGGCTCTCAAGTTGATCTTAACATCATTAAAATGTTGTGTACAGTAAACACAATTATCCATGCATTAGAAACTAATTCTGTTGGTATCAAGTGTAATGTGAGTGGCTCCGGTTGATAGATGATGAATGCAAGTGCTTTTAATTTAACAGCTATGCAAATACTGTATCACTGGGACTTCTCAAGGACAGCCAAGTCCCCAGTGGGTCAAAGACCATGCAACTATCATCCATATTGGTCTCCAGTCACACTACAGAAACAATAGAAAGCTGAAAGGAAAATGCATCATTTGGCTATAATGACTGTATGTTACATTGAGAAGATCACATCAGGCTAACAGGAGGAGGAAGATTGTGGTACAACCAAACAAAAAAGGATCATAGAATCATAAAGTTGGAAGAGACCCCAAGGGCCATCTAGTTCAACCCCATTCTGCCATGCAGGAACACAGAATCAAAGCATCCCCGACAGATGGCCATCCAGCCTCTGTTTAAAGACCTCCAAAGAAGGAGACTCCACCACACTCTGAGGGAGCATATTCCTCATTATTCCTTGCTGTAGTGCTTTGATGCCCAAATTGTATGCTAGGGCTCAGTGGCATACCCCAAGGGAATGGGTAGTATTTTTAAAGAAGTTAATTGAATAATGAACGTAGCCTGTGAGGCTAAAGCATGCAACCACAGGGCCCCCAGAATCATTTTTAAGATGGGGAGAAGTCACTATTGACAGGCAGGTTGCTAATACTTTTGGAAGAGAAATTGCTTTATCTATTATCAAGGAAACATTTGTAGACTCCTACAAACACAGTGTTTCCGTAGAAGTGTCCTCTGTAGCTTACTTCCAAGTAAGTGTGTTCAGGATAGATTGCAGGTAGCCTTTATAATTCCTGGGAGAACAGCTATATTTAAACATTTAGTACACGTTTGATTGATAAATTCCTGAGGAGGATCAACTACTTTGGAGTCTTGACCAATTTGTTCAGATTATGGTGGGGGCTTAGCCCCTACTATAGGGCCTTTACAGACTGCCAGAAATAGTGCAACTTGAAGCCACTTTAACTGCCCTGGCTCAGGGCCAAGGAATCATGGGAACTGTAGTTTATTGTGGCACCAGAGCTCTCTGACAGAGAAGGCTCAGTGTCCCAGAAAAAAAAAAACAGTTCCCATGATTCCCTAGCACTGAACCAGGACAGTTAAAGTGGCCTCAAGCTGCATTATTTCTGCAGTCTGTAAAGGCCCTATAGTCTTAGGGAGCTCTTGCTCCCTGTTTTGGATCCATGTGTAGCAGAAAGAAAGGAAGACCACACAAGAGATGGATAGAGGCCATGGGATGAATTTTGCAGAACCTAAGCAGAGCAGCAGAGGATAGGGGATCTTGGAGATGTCTCATCCATGAGTCAGGATCAACTTGGGGGCAGTTAACCACAACAGCATCCACCTAGGAA